GTAGAAAAATATCAAACACATCAGACTTTTTCTTAATAAGATAAAGCCAAGTAAACCGACTATAAGCATCAATGAAACTGACATAATAATTATGGCCACTGAGAGATGTTTGGGCATGACCCCACACATCAGAAAACACAAGCTCAAGAGGATGTTTCACAACACGACTAGACTGTGAAAACGGAAGTTGGTGACTCTTGCCTTGCTGACAGGCATCACAAATAGTTTCAGCAGTTTTATTTGACACAACTGGTAGTTCATGGCGATGCAACACATGATGAACTATAGGAGCAGCAGGATGACCAAGGCGCGCATGCCAATGTGTTGGAGACACACGAACACCACTGAACGCTTGAGAAGAAAGCTGCATAGGAGGTGCGGTTGGCGCGTCAAGTGCGTACAAGCCACCGCGAAGATGACCGCTAAGCAGAACGGCCCTCGTGTCCTGATCCTTGATAAAGAAACGAAAAGGGTGAAACTCAGCAAGGACATTATTATCACGAGTAAGTTGTGAAACAGATAACAAACTACGTGAAGCAGTGGGAATACGAAGAACATTAGAATGATGCAGTTTACGTGAGTTGTGTGCAAGAAGTGATGCCTGACCAACATGAGAGATGCGCATACCTGCTCCATTAGCGGTGTGCACCTGATCATGACCATGATATGGCTCCTGAGTGGAGAGCTTGCCCATGTCATTGGTGAGGTGGTTCGTAGCTCCCGTGTCCATGTACCATGTAGGATCAATGGAGTAAGACGGAGTGCGGCCATGGTCATGACTCGTCACTGCGGCGGCAGCCTGCTTGTCATTTCCTTTGCCATTGTTGTCGAGGCCCAGGAAGTCTTGCTTGTAACGACGATGACAGCGAGACGCAATGTGGCGCTCAATGCCACATAGCTGACAGGCCTGCTGAGCCCCGCAAGAAGAACAGCACGCCACCGGCCGGTTGCCACCCGTGATGGTTGGAGCATTGCCCCGCGAGGCCGGTTGTGAAGATGGCGCCGGTCGACCCCCCGAAGATGACGTCCGTGGGGGTTTGCCACGAGTCGCGGCATTGGCGGAGGCGAAACCGGGGGAGGCGCGGCGCGCCTTAATGTGCTGTTCACGACCAAGGAGTCGTGCATAGAGCTCCCGAGGTGGGAGCGGATCATCACGGCCATGGACATTCTCAACGAGGTTGTCATAGTCATCATCAAGCCCGTTAAGCACGAAGGTGGTGAACTCCTCATCCTGCAGTGACTGGCCAACTGAGGCCAACGTGTCGGCGAGACCCCGCATCTTGTTGAAGTAGTCCGTGATGCTGAGGTCACCAAGCTTAGTCTCACCAAGCTCAGTGTGTATAGAGTGAGCACGCGCCTGAGACTAAGAGGCGAAACTTGTGTGAAGCACCGCCCATGCCTCTCGGGACGTAGCGGCAAAGATGACCATCGACGAGACGCTCGGGGTGAGCGAGGACTGAATGGCGGAGAGGATGGCCTGATCCTGGGCCACCCAGGTGTGATATGCCGGGTGATGAGGGGGCGGACACGGGATGGATCCGTCAACATAGCCTTCCAGATAGCGGCTCCGCAGAAGAGGCAGCACCTGGGCACGCCAGGACAGGTAGTTGTCCGTCGTGAGCTTCACCGGTAGCAGATGCGAGAAGTAGAACGGCGCCGGCACCGCGGTCAGATCGGTATGAGCTTGCGGCGGTGCATAGGGACCCATTGACGAGGCCGCCCCGGGATGCGCCGAAGGCGTCGCGTAGGGCGGATAGTATCCTGGGGGTCCGGCCACCAGAGGAGCGTAGGAAGCTGCACCCGGAGCCCCTTGCGACGCCGCGCCGGGCTGGTGCAGCGCCGAGTGAGAAGTCGGCGGGGGCGGCGGGTAGGGCAGGGGCGACACCGGGTAGTGGGTCGTCAGGGGCGCCGAGTGCGGCGACACACCGTAGAGGTAGGACGTCGGGGCGCCGTAGCCCGGCGGCAGGGCGCCGTAGCCCGGCGGCGGTGCGCTGTAGTGCGGCGCCGGATAGGACGACGACGGCGGCGGCCCGCCATGGACAGGGCCAGCGACACCGCCCTCAGAGGGATCAACCTCGATCGCCTAGGAGACCTGATCGCCCGGAGATGAAGACGACGGGGAGGCACCGTAGGCCATCGCAAGAGGCTGCGAGGCGTGGAACGGTGAGGTAGGAGCAAGGGCCGGCGCCGAGGCGGCGGCGGGAACGGAGACAGAGATCGGCGCGGCGGCGGCGACGGCGGCGGCGATGACGGCAGCGGAAGACATCGTAACCTAATTTGATACCATGTAAGAGAAATAACTTGGGGGACTGCTCGACACCTCAAGGGGATGCGGCTATCTCAATATATATAAGTACCAAAGGATACAATATACAAAGACTATATATGAGTCTACGTATACACACGTCTACGTACATATACAGTCTAACAGGCGTACCCTCCAGCTTCATTGTCAGGGCTCAGCAGGGAGGGTATGTCCTTGACGGCGAAGGTGACGCCGAGTATGTATCCCCAGCCGACCACTATCGATATGCCGATGGCGCTGATGATCCCGATCGGGCCGTTCTTGTCTGCGTTCTTGGTCTCCTCCGTCTGCGGGCATGAGCAAAAAGCGTTACTAACCAACCTGTCATAAGTTTTAACAAAGATGGTGAGCGAGATTGGTGGCTGGCTTAGCTTAATTACCATATGCGCCGACGCGTCGTATCCTAAGAGCGTGTACTGGCTCATGAGGAGCCCCAGGAGAAAGATGTAGAGATGGCTGTGTATTCCAGCGCTGTTGTCGGTGTTGAAATTGGTGAAGACGAACTTGGCACTGGCTCTCTCCGTAGCAACAGCCGGCACAGCAATCATCAGGACAAAGACACCTAGTACAAAGTACAAACGATCTAATTATTCGCTACCTACAATGAGAATCAAATTGAATTGTATCGAATCAAATTGAACCGTATCGAATCAAATTGAATCGTATCGAATCGAATCTGATGGCGAAAAGAGAGAGACCTACCTAGCATGTTCCAAGCCGCCGCAAACTGGCCAAAGAAGGAGAGCCATGCAATGGGGAGGCTGTTGATGACGGCGTGGCTGAGCAGGATGGCGGCATGGATGGCGATGACCTCGATCGTACTTGGACGCCAGGTACCCTCCTCCGTTGTTGCCGCCGGTGCTCAGCAGGATGATCACCTGGATCAGCTGCGCTAGCGAGTAGTCCACACTGGTTGTCACTGCCCACTGCAAAATACTCTCTCTCGTCGCTTCAGAGTTCAGAGTGAATGAGAAAACACACAGACAGACAAAGTGTTCAGAGAGTTACCTGTCCAACGATGTTAAACCTGAATGCATGCAATTGCATCGGAGGGAGTAGACAACAAACATCACATCATTAGAGGCTGTCTGCCTGTCTCAAAACAAATAATTGACCGGAATGGTTCTTGTATTGTCCCTAGACTAGAAGAACCATAATGGTTATAAAAGAAATAGAAGAACCATACATACCATAGGGAAAGTATTAGGTGATACCATTAGGGCTGGAAAAAAAGCTCGAAGCTCGCGAGCTAAACGAGTAGCTCGTGACTCGGCTCGAACTCGAAGAATAACGAGTCGAGCCAGCTTTAGTTTAAGATCGTTTATATACCGAGTTAAACGAGCCGATCTCACGAGTACTCGTGTAACTCGTTAGCCTATGTACAAGTGATCAGCCATGCACCCGGTGTCCTAGGCGCACGACACAAGGCCCAGCCACACAAGGCACCTTAATAATATGATAAAAAAATATTACTTGCGAATGTAAAATGTAGACGGGTCAAAGCACGCAAAGTGGAGCGAGCACATGAACACAAGACAAAAAGATCCACGTCACGCTGTTAAACAACGTCAAATGTAGACTGGCAACTTTGATTCCATCTGATTGGATGGAACAAAGAAAAAGGATTATTCCAATTTCTATCCCGATTCTGATTGTCACAGGATCTGCCAGCTAAGACGGTTATGGAAATGTCGTTCGAGAAAGAAAGAAAGAAATAATGGGATCCTTTGAGCGGCGCACGTGCAGTGCAGCATAGACTCTTCCAGCTTGAGTCCAGATAACGCCCATTCAATTCAGCCGCTAATTTTTGCACTCTACTCCCTCCGTTCCTAAATATTTGTCTTTCTAGAGATTTTAACAAGTGACTACATACGGAGCACAATTAGTGAATCTACACTCTAAAAATATGTCTATATACATCCATATGTGGTAGTCTATTTGAAATCTCTAGAAAGACAAATATTTGGGAACGGAGGGAGTATTTTCAAGGAGAAGCATGTGCAGTCGCCTCAAAATTCGCCATGTCAGACTTACGCCCCCTCCGAGAAATTCTAGGCTTTTTTTTACGTAGCTAGTCTCTGTCCCCTTATTCATACCCCTAGTACTAATTGTCAGGATCATAATCCCGACACCCACCACCCCAACGACGCACCACAACCTACAAATGCAAACTCTAACTACAGAACGGAGGAACGGCCCCCCTCCCTCCTGCCGCCGGAGCAACAGCGGAGGGGGGGGGGGGAGGGGGAGGGGGCCAGTGCCCTCGCCAATGGAGATCAGTGGGAAAAGAGATCGCCTCCCTAGTCGCCTCCTGGCGGCGGCTAGGGTAAGAAAATGTTTCGTCTGTTGCTACCCGATCTGCATGAACTCAATCGATCCTCTCCCTCTCGGACTTGTTAGTTAGACTCATATTCTACTTCTTTCCATGGCCGGCCCACATGTAGATAAAAAAAGATTTCTCCACGCCTTTCATTTTTTTTAATTTTTTATATGGCACAAAGCAAAGTATCTTTTCCAAAGTACGATTTCCGTTTTTGGAACAAAGTACATATGCAGGCGTTCATATATATGCCCATACACTCACCCGTATGAACACACACGCATATCCTACGACTGCGAGTACCTGCGAGAGACTGGAGCCGACATATCATCTTAAGATTAACGAAGTCACCACAAGCTCCTCGTAGTCAACGAGAACGTCTCCTCCCTTTGAAGACGCATTGCAAGAAATCCTAAAATAAATCTAGGAATAATTCAATCTCAGGAATTGAGCCCTGGTGGGCTAGGAATACCACTGTCCTCCTAACCATCCAACCACAAGTTGATTCGTAATTACGGTTTCCTTCTTGCATTCGGCTAGGGAGGGCTTCCTGTTATACGTATCATATTTGGTATACGGCTAGGCCGGGCTTTCTATTTGCCATTCGGCGGACAGAGAAACGAGATTGGAAAACTGTGGCCTATGCATCCTTTGCACAAGGGGTAACCACTGGTGGAAAAAGGGCCTTTGGTCGCGGTTCGCAACTGCCATTAGTCGCGGTTGCGCAACCGCGACCGAACGGGCGCGACTAAAGGCCCCACCCTTTAGTCGCGGTTGCTTAAGAACCGCGACTAAAGGCCCGTCCACGTGGGCGCCAGGTGGCCGTCGGGGCGGAGGACCTTTAGTCGCGGTTCTTCTGGCCAACCGCGACTAAAGGCCGCCGCAGGTTTAGGGTTTTAGCCCCCCCCCCCCTTAAACCTGTTTTCTGTTTAATATGTATTGTTTTATTTCTTTTGTGCTTTATTTTAATTTTGAAGAAGTTTCACATATTCTACGGTACTACATACATGCATATGAATGTACAATTTCAAACAAATTTGAAATTAGAACCAAAAAGAATTCAAGAGGAATATAAAATATATATTCAATATCATCGGATGACCATATACAATTTTGAACAAGTTTCCATACATAATTTAATGCATATAAAGTTCTACGTCCTCGTAATGGTGTTCTCCTTTAGGATGGAGGACTTCCCTCCTGAACCATCCAGCTAGTTCCTCTTGAAGTGGTCGGAAGCGAGCTTCTGGACTAAGCATCATCCGGAGGTTATTCCTCTGAGCATTGGTATCACTCGGAACCCGCTCAGAGGTGTATCTCCGGATCATCTCACAGACATAGTATGCACATAGATTGGTCCCCGCTGGCTGAATATCCTCACCATTCTTAGCCTTTGCCCTTTTGAATTCTAGCTCTTTTTTGAATTCACCGACCTTTGTATTTACGAACCGTCTCCAAACCCTACGAGGCAAAGAAAATTAAATGAACAAGAGAGTTATTAGTTACTTGATATTAGGAAATGAACGAAATAGGCCGATCGATATAGAGCGCAAATGAATGAAAATAATTACTTCTGCAGCATTCTTCTCATGTCGACCCAAAGCTTTGGATCCTTATTCAGAGAGTCGTGGACGAGACATTCTGAGGTGTCAACTTTAATTACTAGCAGAATCCAGTGGAACCTGCGGACACGATACATGCACAGTACGTCATGCATAACTCATCGATTAGCCGGCCACATACCATGCATGGAGTAAACAAAAGAGAATGTGCTCAAGACAGAAACACTCACCCAAAATGGTAAGGAAATAGAATATCACTTTTGAGTTCCTGCTTTGTAAGGAACTGCCACAGGTCTGCCTCCATGTCGGCGGGGTGATGCTCCAACACATATCCATTAACGATGTGTGGGTCAATGAACCCAACATTATGGATGTTCCTTACTCTGCATTCCTTAATCTTCATTCTGCATGTATAATAGCGGACACAACAATATAGTTAGGACATATATATAGTGCAGGCAATATGAACGAGATGGGGTAGAAATAAATCACTTACAGAACGTAGCAACTGATGATGGATTTGTCGAGCTCGCGCAGATTGAAAAGCTGGAACAATTCACTCAGATGAATTTGTACATAGTAATGTTTGAAGTGATGCTCATATCTAACTTCCGCATAAATATATTCTTTGGCGTTTTTATTTTTTATGTAACCCTTGTACCATTTCAGCAGACCTTTCATTTGTGGAGGTAGATCCTGTTCCTGCGCAGGCTCGACGAGAGGCCCATTCTTCACATATGTAATTACTACCTCCTTCACTGGCGCCTCATCAAGGCCTAACAGTTCATGAAGAGTAATACCTAAGTTGGCCGCTTGTTCTCTGGCACTCGTTACAGTCAATCCATGTGCTGCCGCAGCTGCTATGATATCGGGGTCATCCGGACCGGCGGCTTTCACTATAAGCGGGGCAATCGATTGTTTACTTTGTTCCCCGAGCTGGGCAACTCGTTTCCCGCTTTTTTTACTTTCTAATTCCGTTTTCTCGGCCTCCTCCAAGGCTTTGTTCTCCTGGTTCTCCGCCCGCTCTTTCTTCTCCTTCAACATGAGTGCCTGCCTATGAAGTTCACGTGCATAGTCGTCAGGCAGATTCTTCGCGGCTTGGGACGGTGTGCTCAAAAATGACTTAGCCCACTTCTTTTGCTCATCAGAAAATACTGGCTTGGGCTCGGGCTCTCTTTTCTTCTTGCAGTCCGCCTTCCATTTCTCATGATCAGCAGCCGCGGCCGCGGCAGTTTCCTCGGCACTACGTTCCCAAGGCCTTGTGGGGAGAGGCTTCAATGATGGCTCTGGTACCTTTGTGGTCTTAGGTACATAAGGGTCCGGGTTAATAATCCAGGACTGCTTCTGCTTCTTTGCCGGAGGTGGATTGGGGGGCGGCGTCTGATCACCCGCCGGACGAGGACTGGGGGGCGGCGTCTGATCACCCGCCGGACGTTGTGGACTGGGGGGCGTCGGCTGACATGACGGAGGTGTAGGTGAACCGCCACCACCGTAGGGGGGTGGACTTGTTGTCCTTGGCGCCTCGCCTGGAAACTTGATAAACTTCTTTTGCCATAGAATGAAATGGCGCTTGACATCTCCAAGTCTTTTCTCCCCTTCAGGTGTAGCAATGTCAATCTCCAGGTCCTCAAACCCTTGGACTATGTCCTCCACCGTGACACGAGCATAGCCATCTTGAATGGGGGTGTTGTGGTGGAGTGCTCCAGGTAAACATGGTAAAGCACTGCCGATGGCTACCTTCACGGACATGTTCCCGATAGGATAATACAGATGACATTCTTTCATCTCCTTTATATCGTCCACGGGGTAGCGAGGAGGCTCCGGTGC